TAAATAAAATCTTTAAGAAAAAAATGGACAAAAGATTTGAATGGATATTTCACACAGAAAAAAAGATGGCCAATAAGCACTTCAAAAGATGCTCTACCTCATTCTCATTAGTCATTAGGGAAATAGGAATTAAAACCACAACAAGAGGGGCGCCTGGATGGCTCAGTGGGTTAAAGTCTCTGCCTTTGGCTCAGGTCGTGATCCCAGGGTCCTGGGATTGAGCCCCGTATCAGGCTCTCTGCTCAGCAGGGAGCCTGCTTCCTCCTCTCTCTCTGCCTGCCTCTGCCTACTTGTGGTCTCTATCTGTCAAATAAATAAATAAGTCTTTAAAAAAAAATAAACAAAACCACAACAAGATACCATTGCAGACCCACTAGAATGACTAAAATTAAAAACACAGACAATATTTGAGCACCTTGTACTCCTATTGCTGATGAGAATGCAAAAGAGAAAGGAGTTTGGGTAGTACTTTTTTTTTTTTTTTTTTTAAGATTTTATTTGAAAGAGAGTGTGAACCCCGGGGGGCAGAGTGGGGTAGGGGGAGGAGGAGCAAGGGGAGGGAGAGACTCTTAAGCAGGTTCCACACCCAGTGTGGAGCTCCAGACAGGGCTCAGTCTCAGGACCCTGAGATCCTGACTTGAGCTGAAATCAAGTATCTAAGGCTTAACCAACTGTGCGACCCAGGTGCCCATGTTATTGTTTATTCTTATTCAAGGGAAGGTATTTGGGAAAATACAGATGCTTTAGGTTATGAGTTTTATCATTTGCTTTTATTTTAAATTCTAGATTAAAAAAAATTCTTTATTTTAGGGGTGTCTAGGTGGCTCAGTTGGTTAAGCATCTGCCTTCAGCTCAGGTCATGATCCCAGGGTTCTGGGATGGAGCTCCATGTCGGGCTTCCTGCTCAGTGGGGAGCCTGCTTCTCCCTCTTCCTCTGCTGTTCCCCCTGCTTGTGCACAGTCTCTTTCTCAAATAAATAAAATCTTAAAAAGATTCCTTTATTTTGTATGTAGAGAGAGAGTACATGAGCCCTGGGGAGAAGGAGAGAGGCATAGAAACTGACTCCCTGCTTAGTGCAGAACTTGTCTGTCTCAGCGATGGATCCCAGGATCCCTGGGATCATGACCTGAGCTGAAACTGAGGGGCGGAGGCTTAACCAACTGAGCCACCCAGGCTCCCCTAAATTCTAGATTTTGACCTGTCTTTTCCATTATAGGCACAGTCAGTACAGTTGTTAAGTTGGCCTAATGATAACATTGGATAATCATACTTTCTTTTCACTTTTATTCTGCAAAATTCAGCTTTGTGTTTTGCTGCATTTTATAAATTATCCTCTATACACTGTTACCATTGGTCTTTACTTTAAAAATTTGAGGAGAGGAGTGCCTGGGTGGCTCAGTTGGTTAGGCTCCAACTCTTGGTTTTGGCTCAGGTTATGGTCTCAGGATCCTGAAATATAGACCCGCATTGCATAGGGCTTGGTGCTCAGCAGGGAGTCTGCTTGTCCGTTCAGTCCAGTTCTACCTCCCTCTTGAATAAATAAATAAAATCTTTTAAAAAAAATTGTGGAGAAAAAATGAAAAAGAACTTATTGGAAAATAGGAAAAAAGGGATTGGAAAAACTTGTATTTAATTAGACCAGGATTCTAGAACAGTAAATTTATATTCAGAGTATACTGTCTTTAGTTTCTCTCTTAATTTGTGTATTTTTCATTTGCTAGTCTTTTCTTTTATTCCCTGCCATCCTGCTCTCATTACTGCAGTTCCTTCATTTGGGAAAGAAGGTGAAAGGAATTTTAATGTCTCTTCCTTAAAGTCTGCTTCAAAAGCTTGAGTGGAAAGATAGTGTGATCAGTACTTTTCGTATTTTATATACATTTTTAAACACTTAAACATTTCTGAAATTGTGCTGCATCTAGCAGAATACCACCTAGAATTAAGATGAGTTCTTCCAAATAATTGTATTTCTTTTAGTCACCTAGTGGCGATATTAACCATCCTAGTAGTGTAAATTCAGATCACAGGCCAACTACATGACTCCTCACATCCTCAAGGGGAGGTTTTTCCCCTGTCCTTGACCATGTCAGGGCTGAGATGTACAAATTTTGTGTGTTTCTTCTATGTTGCAGATTGATTTATTCTTTTTCTTCATGTTATGGGTAGCCCTGTGAGATTCTAGCTTTATGAGGCCCTAAATTTTCTTGGGCATCGCCCCCTTTTAGTGGCATATAATATGGGTGAGTTTGACAAGTGATGGTATCTCAAATTTTAATCATCTTTTGTTTTCTGTGTATGTCATCATAGTCACATCTTTTCACCAGAAGATTTTTATATTGAATATTTGAGAAAAGTGAATATTATAATTAATTCATGTTTTATTTTAGAAATGATAACATGCTTATTGTTCAGACTTTTATTTATTCATTAAAAATATTTAATTTTTTTTGAGAGAGAGAGAAAGAAATCATGAGCTGGGAGAGGGCCAGATGAAGAGGGAGTAGCAAACTCCTCACTGAGCATGGAGCCTGACTCCAGGCTCCACGCAGGCATGGATCTTAGGATCCTGAGATCATGATCTGAACCGGAGGCCGATGCTTAACCCACTGAGCCACCCAGGCGCCCTTGGTGTTCAGGCTCTAAAAGCACAGGCTTCTGTTCTCTTGGCACAATGTGATAAAATGTATCCCTCCTGAGGGTGTTCTTCAGAGAAAATATTCAGACTTATTAGTAAATTATTGGCTGAAGTTTATGAAAACAAAAACTAATGCTACTTAAATCATTTTTTTCTTTTATAAAATCTAGTCCAGAATGTTTTATTGTGTCTTTATATCCATGGTATTTGAATTTCAATTTTTAGGAATCCATTTCATAAATTAGAAAGTTCTTACCTATATATTTTTGTATCACCAAGCATACTTTTTCCTGAAGGATAGGGACATAAAGGCAGAATGAGGTCTTGCAATTATGCTTTTTATATAACAACTTTATAGAAATATAGTTCCCATACCATCCAATTCACTTTTTAAAGTGTCCAATTCAGTTGTGCAACCAATATCACTGTTTAATTTTAGAACATTTTTACTACCCCCAAAAGAAACCCAGTACTCAACTAAATGTTGTGTCTGCTCTATATAAGGCCTTATGGTAAGTTTTGGGAAGGCAGTAAATCCTGACCTCAAAGTTCATAATCCAGTAAAGAATAAAAGAACTACCTGTGTATTTTATGTATGTGACAAAATATACCACAAGCCAAAATAAAGGATTTCGAATATTCAAACCTCTCAGATGGATCACAACTCTATAATACTCTTTCATTACGTAGAAAAGTAATCTGAGACCCAGAGGCATCTCTGCCTGTAGTTATGTGGCACAGCCAGAGTGGTTTCTGGAAGAAGTCAGTTGAGATTGCTGTGTCTTGAAAAATTAGAGATAACTGAGGAGAGCATGTCAAGTATAGGGAACAGTGTAAATGAAGCCTCAGGGTACCTTTAGGAAATAGTGAGTAGTTCATTTTGATTATTGGAGCAAAAGGTGCATGATATGGAGCAATATGAGATAAAACTGATTTTGGAAAGATGGTGAAAAGCTTTGAACTCCTTGAAGATACAAAAACTTGTATAATTTGGGTAGGTAGTGGGGAATGTCTAAAGGTTATTAAGTAGGAGAGTGACATGGTTGGAGCTGGGCTTCAGGACGGTTCTTCTCAAACTATCAGTGATGAGGGATCATTTGTTTTGTTTTCATCCCAGTCTTTTCAAATTGATGCATTTACAAAATATAATAAAAATGAATTACTAGGAAAATGAAGAGACCTGGGGATCTCTATATTTTTTTAAGTTTATTTAATCTCTACACCCAACATGGGGCTCAAACTCTGACACTGAGATCAAGAGTTGCTTGCTCCTTGGACTGAGCCAGCCAGGCACACCTGCATTTTTTTTTTTTTTTTATTACAGTCAACAAATGTAAAGTTTCACAATTGCTATGAGAGTTTCTAAATACTTGCAATTTCTGTATGTATCATGTTATGGATTTGTAACAACCATTCACAGAACAGTATTGGTCTGTGGACCACACACCACACTTTGAGTAGCAGTACTTCAAAACAATCAGTTTGGCTGTTAGTGCACAGACAGAACAATTGGAAGGTGATTGCTGAAGAGTTAATGAGTTAACAAGGACCTGGACAAGTTGGTAGCAGTATGAATTAAATGGAAGATTTGGTTTCGATAGACATTTGGAAATGTATTTTTTTTTTAAAGATTTTATTTATTTATTTGAGAGAGAGTGAGAGAAAGCATGAGCAGAGGGAGGGATAGAGGGAGAAGCAGGCTCCTTGCTCCCCAGGACCCTTGGATCTGCATGACTTGAGCAGAAGGCAGATGCTTGACTAACTGAGCCACCCAGGCACCCTTGACATTTGGAAATTTAAATGAAGGCAAATGAGATGATGTGGATTTGAGGGAGAGGAAATAATATTTACTCAATTTTAGGGTTGAGTGGTAAAATGAGAGTGTCAAAAGTAGAAATAGAAACTAGTTTGGGGAGAAAGATACTAAAATTAGATATTCAACAGCGATCCACATTATGGCATATTTTTATTAAGTAAACACACATACATACAAAGAGACATTGTTTGGTTCATAATCTAAATTTGTACTCTCGATCTGATCTCGAAACAGCACTTGTAACTTTTCTTTGATTGCAACAAGCTTTGAGTATATTATTACACAAACCCATAACCAAAACATGCCTAAGAAGATTTTATACTTGCATCTTTAGTCTCATTTGTTGTTGCAGTAACTGTTGCTGGGCTCTTGGCCAGGAAATTGTGACTCTAGGCAGGGGGAGGAGCTAGGGATAAAGTTCACCATTGCCAAAGAAACTCTATTCCAAATGGATTTGTGTGGAGCAACAGTGATATCCAATGACAAGTTAAATTAGACACAGAGGTGTTTTCTCCAACAGTCTCAGAGATACATGCTATTGAGGGTCTTGTTTCAGACTAAAGCAGTCTTTTTGAAGTGAGGTTAAAGTTACACAGAAGTAAATTATACCAGGAGCTTAAAGAAGAATTTTGTTATGTGACTTCAAGAACTCATTGACTCAGATAGTTTCACACACTGCAGAACGGCAACCAGTGACAGATGAGGTAATGCTGCTTTGAATTACGATTTAAATCTCAAAACCACTGAGAGTTTGCTACTTAAAAAATTCCAAATTTAGTAAATTGCATGTTCATGTGCCTTAAATATGAAGATATTAGATCCCTATTCTTAAAACACATAGTCTTACTTCTTATGGTTAATATGTGTATTTACTTGGATAGAATTTCTTTAAATTTCATGCCTTACTGTGGTAGGATATGATAGTAAAAGCTGTTATATTTTTCTCTGTCTAAATCTGTGCCTGGTTTTATAGTGCCAGGTTTTATGTGTTGTTTCCTAAAGATTGTTTCACTTGTTAATGCTCAAATCTGTATCAAATGCCTTAATATGTAGGAATTTCTGGCTGATAATTGCATTTTAAGGTTGGATGCTTAGGTCAGTCATGCTTTTGGAGACTTCGTGCTTTATTTAAAGTAAGTTTTGGAAAGTTAATTTCACAAATGTATTCACATTCTTGAAGTGGAGCTCTATAGTGGAGTGTGTTCCACTGGTTAATAATTTAGAAAAGTGTCACAAGTAAATTGGCATTGGCAAAGACAGAGTCAAGGCCCTGGGACCAACAGAAATTTTTGAATTCTCCAAGCAGATACGATCTTTTGTTTTAAATGTATGGTGGGACAGGGAGTCAGCCTTTTAACTGATAGAGTGCCTAATACTCTCTTTTGTTATAACAGTAAAGAATAGTGATTAGTTTGAGGCCAAGAGATTGTTTCTCTTGAAGACTGTATCCTGGAGACATGATATTTCTGGCCCCAGGCTGCCTCTCTCCTGAAGTCAGTGCACACTTTCAGCCTTTGGATGTTTATTATCTTTGTAAATCTTCGAGTATGTATTATTGCAGTTTTCTATGATCCAGCTGTTCCCTTTTGTCATTATAGGTTTACTTAATACACTTTAGATATTCACACACAAATTAGATTTAGTTGCCTATTGCCCTTCCCTCCCATGTCTTATAGCAAAAATTAGGGAAAGAAGAGATGAAAAAACATATGTGAGATTTTTCTTGTTGTTTCGTAATAGGAATGAGAAGAGGAGACAGAAGTGATTGCTTCTTTCTTATATTCAGGAATTGCTTCTATGGATGAGGTTACTTATTTTGAATGAAAATGAAAAGATAATATTTAGTTGAAGGTCTTCATAAGACAACATCTTATTTCCTTAAGTTAAGCATCTAAAGAGTCTTTCTTCAGTCTAATAATCCCTGAAACAAAGTGGTATGGGCTTCGTGGTAGGCTTTCAACAAATGCGCTGATTGAATAAGGTGACAAGTTAATCAAAGGGGAAGGACTGCAATTTGATGGATATTTAGCAGTGATAATTTTGGCAAAAACAATAGATTTTCATAATCCAAACATATGTGATTCCAAGAGTTTCTATGGATAATACACCTAAGGTGCATTATAATCTTCATATCCTTAAAATAATGTGATAAAGGAGTACAGACTTAATCTTTCTTCTGACCAAGAGAGAAACTGGCAAGCTATCTTGCTGGGTCTGTTGATAGTTTCCTTCAACCTTTAGCACTGATTGATTGATATTAGGAAAGTCTGTTTTTTACCCTGTGATTTGAGCTGTGCCTGAAACCAGCTCACATCATTCTATCAGAAGCAAAGCTGTTTCTTTTATCATATGATCCCAGCATATATCCCTCCTGGGTTGTATCACAAGAATCTTCCCAGTCATTCCTGCCTGAATTCCCATAGAATATTTTAGGCATGTCAGCTGTTTGGGCTCTGATCAAGGATTTGATCCAGTTGGCCTCTAGCCTGAATTGAGAGTGTGTTTGAAAAACATAATCTTCAGTGGCAACATTTGGTTTCCAGAGTTAGAACCATCGCTTTGTGTCTTACCCCTCTTGGCCTTCAAAAGGATTTACGTAACTGAGAAAAGGTTTGATAGTAAAGTAGATGCTTTTATCAGTAAAAGGAGGGTGAAATTTGATGAAGTGGTAGAAAGGTCATGGTGACATATTTGGGTTTGTGGGTGTTTAAAAAGATTTGGGTGGGTGTCACTTACCTTATAGTTCCTTGTATCTTTCAGCTATGCATTAAGCTTCTCTCTCCCTCCCATCCATTAAAAAGGACCTATATTAGGGCAACTTAAAATAGGAGACCAGCAGGTCTAATTAAGGGAAAAAGAAGTCCCAAGAAAAGGGAAAAGAGAAACCTCTATCTGCATAGGAAGCCAAAAATCCAAAGGACTGTTCCTATAGTAATTTGAGGGTAAGAAGAATTATAAATATAAATATATAATATAAAACATAGTCCACCGTTAGTTGGTGGCAAAGCTAATATACAAGACTCAGTATTGCTTGCATTCTAAACATTGACTTTCATATATAGCTCATCTGTACTTAGTAGATAAACCAGTTAAAGCATAATTGATGTACCTAATCCCATTAGAAAAATAAAGTGTTAATCTACAGTGTTATAGAAATAAGGAGCTAAATACCAATACTGGCATTAATTCTCAGGATTTAGTTCTCAGGAACTAAGGGTTTTATAGAGCTAATCTAGTGTGCATAACACACTAAGATAAGTCATGATTTTCATATTTTTCAGAAGATTAATCATTTTTTTTAAAGATTTTATTTATTTATTTGACAGAGATCACAAGTAGGCAGACAGGCAGGCAGAGAGAGAGACAGAGAGAGAGAGAGAGAGAGAGAGAGGAGGAAGCAGGCTCTCCGCTGAGCAGAGAGCCTGATGTGGGGCTTGATCCCAGGACCCCGGAATCATGACCTGAGCCGAAGGCAGAGGCTTTAACCCACTGAGCCACCCAGGTGCCCCAAGATTAATCATTCTTAATTTAAGGGTCTATTGATTTTAAGTCCTTGATTAAAATATTTCTAAGCAAATACTTGATTTTTGGTCTGCATTTAAAATTGGTGCATACATTCTGAGATGAGAGGAAAAGCTTTCTGTTAAAATTTGAAATAATAAAAATAAATTTGAAATAGTAAATGAGTTGCTGAAGAGTCATTACCCAGATTAGTGGTTCCCAAACTCCTCAATATTCCATCAGTTAAAACGTAGAACATTCATCCCTTCGTGTACTGTTGTCCTTATTTATATATAGTAGAAAACATATACAAATTAGGTGTATTTAAATGATGAAATAAGTATCAGTAAAAGTTCTGATGTCTTCTTTTTGTACCCAGTGATGTCTTCTGCATCTACTGGTATAGTCACTCCTCTTTGGAGATTAGTGACCTACATCATGAATAGGAGCCCAGCTCAGGCATCTTATTTTTTTAAGAAGTTTTCTAGGTGACTTGTAGCATTCTCATTTCTCATAGTTACTTCTAAAATGAAGGCAAAGAAAAGGTTTGGTAATAAGAGGATAAACCATTCAGTAATTCTGGCTGTTCAGCTGGAGATGAGTTGGAAAGGATGTGTGTGAGTGTGTTTTTAAGAGAGGGGTGGGGGGGGCAGAGGGAGAGGTTAGGAGGGAGAGCGAGAATCCCAAGCATGCTCCATGTCCAGCACGGACCCTAATGTGGGTCTTGATCTCACGACGCGGAGATCATGACCTGAGATGAAATCAAAAGAGTTGGTCACTTCACCGACTAAGACACCTAGGTACCCCAAAAGGATACTTTTGTTTTCAGAGATGATTAAAACTTAGCCCAAAACATCATCATTTGATGATTTACCATTCTGTTATACATTTAGTTTTCCCTAAATGTATAATTTATCTTCAAAAGTGATCTTTCTGTAATTTGAATCTGATTATTTCATTTGTTCAAAATCTGATAATTTGTCCTTGCTTGCACAATAAAGTCCAAACTCTAATGTGGCATACAGAGTCTTCATGATTTTAACTCCTACTAACCTTTTTAGCTCCATAGCTGTTATTGCCCCTTCTCCCTACCCCTGCCCTTCTGGAAAACCTCCTTTTGCAGAAACAATCAGAAAAGCAAAACCAAAGAAAACTCCTCAGCTCCAGCTGTAGTAAATGTTTTATAGTTCACTGTAAACCTTGTCCTTGCTTGGTTATTCTGCCTGGATTGCCTTTGTCGCTTTGTCCAATTGGAACACTTCTACTGCTTGCTTAAGATTCAGCTCATATCTCTCTTCTGGTCTCTAAGGAAGTGGTATTCTTGCCTCTGTCTTATTTTGTAGCATTTATTGAGTTGTTAAAATTATTCGTGGGTAAGTGTCTCTCCTACTAGGCTGAATTCCTCAGGGATAGAGATTGTAAATGAAAATAGAAGTTCCATAAGGGGCAGGTGCTCTTGTTCATTCACTGCTGTATCATGTACCTTGTTTGGGATATAGTGAGCATTAAGTGTTTGAACAAATCCGTTTATGTTTATGTGTTTAGTATCTGGCATGTTGTAGGCTTTAAGTGAACACTGTTTAAATAAATTATAAATGAATGAATATATTATAAAACCTCAAAAATAAGCTTGTCTTGGGGGTCAGACTTAGAAAAAGAGAGCTGATTCTCTGAAGTCTTTAGCACATGGCACAGGAAGAAAATACATATATTTCCATATAATACCTGATTTCATTTATAAGAAGGACTTGAAGAATTTTAGTTATGAATTTCTTTTAAGATTAAAAAAATTTTATTTGTTTATTTGTCAGACACAAGCAGAGGGAACAGCAGCTGGAATAGGCAGAGAGAGAAGCAGGCTCCTTGCTGAGCAAGGAGCTTGATGCAGGACTCTATCCCAGGACCCTGGAATCATGACCTGAGCTTAATGATTGAGCCACCCAGGCATTCCTTTTTTAAAAATTTCATGTATTTATTTGAGAAGGAGAGAGAGGGCACAAATAGGAAGAGGGGCAAAGGGAGAGGGAGAAGCAGACTCACTGCTGAGCAGGGAGCCAGAGCCCTGATGCGGGAGTGGGGGCTCCATCCCAGGATCCTGAGATCATGACCTGAGCCGAAGGCAGATGCATAACCAACTGAGCCACCCAGGTGCTCCTGTTATGAATCTTAATATTGGTATTTAAATGAAAAAAATCTAGAAAGATAACCAAATAATTACATTAAACTTAATAATTTTGGGGGGATTTGCTTCAGTGTTAATTGAGAGATCATTTTTTGCTTCTTTTTTTAGGGTGTTTGTGAACCGAAGTTTAGCGATGGAAAAAATAAAGTGTTTTGGTTTTGATATGGATTATACACTTGCTGGTGAGTAGCACTTTTTGACTGCTTAAAAACTGCTTTAAGTATAACACAGTGGGTCTACAGGAGGCAATTCAGTAAACATTTATTTAATCCTATATTTAGCTACTAGAAGCTCTTGTTATCAAAGCTCCTTCCATTGATATTTATGAATATTGAAATTACCAGATATCCTTGAGATTTACATAAGATAGATTTACATAAGATGCATAAGTAGAACAAGTGCTAAATTATTTTAGAGTCCCTAGTAAGAAATAGTATGATGAAATTATACATTAATGTGTATATCAGGGCACTTTTGGCTTTACTCTCTAAAACTATTCTTCAATGATGGAGTTTTGTATCTTTTGTTCTACTCAAGGAAAACTATTTTTTTTTTCCCAAAGGAAAACTTTTTTTACCAGTTAAAAATTTTAATGTTATTCTTAAGACAAATGGAAAATGTGTTTATTTCCATTGAAATGATTACAAATACATTATGTAAAGACTTTTTAAAAATTAGAGCTATTTGCTTTGTTCATTATCAGATAGACTTTAAACACAGCGCATACTGTTTTTCCCTTCCTGTCTCTGAGATATATTTGAAATCATCAATGGATTAGCTAATATTTGCAAGATCTTTTCAGAACTTAGGAAGTTTTTATTAAAAATTCCTTGATTTGGATGTGAAAATCACTTAAGTAGTAGAGATGAAAGACTGAGTTGAGTGCATGTGTATATATGTATGTTCATGCATGTGTGTATTGTCATGACACTTGAAAAAGAATCTTTCAGAAATTTTCTCTAAAAAAATAACTGTCTTTACACAAAAATGTTAAAATGTATAAATTTACTTATGTTCAGAAACCTCTTATAACAGTATTAGAAAACCGAGACCCATCTCAAATTAGATCTCAATTTGATGTTCAATTTAGGCTAATATAATAATATGCATTATAACATATAAATGTATTATAAATGTATGTAAATATGTATTGTAATAGAATAATGCAAAAATGAACACATGCAGTTTATAGGTCGTTGTCTCATAGTTGTGGCCATGCTATGTACCAAACAAGTTATATATTAAAAATATACACTGACTTGGTTTGCATTTCCCTTTCTTCCCTCCATACCCTTTGTTGTTTATTTCATTTTCTATTGCCTTAAAGTTGTTTTTGCTGCATTTTTATTCTTACGTATTTTTCTAATTGGACACAGTCACTTTTAGGACCACTTCTCAGAAAGGAAGTTGGAAGTACTGTACTTTCTCAGGGTAGTTCTTTACAGATTGGGAGAAAATCCTACAGTCTCTCTCATTTGTAGAATTTTACCTCTCCAGTGAAAGGAATGGTAAGATAATTCAGCTGAAAGAGATACTACCTAAAGCAGAAATAGAAGTTAATGGGAAGAAAAAGTTAATGGGAAGAAAAATAACCCCTTGGTTATTAAGACATTCTCATTGTATTGAGGTAGTTGTTAGTATTTACTGAAAAGCTGTGGTGTTCAGGCACATTTTGTTACTGAGCATTGAGATAACCACATGTTCCTGCAGAACAATGAAAAAATGAATTCTCTTGTTTAATGAGAAAGTCACTGAAAAAAGTCTCTACACTTTAAAGATACCTTATGATTGCTTCTTTTCGCTTGTTTTTTAAATCCCACTTCATATTTTAATACTTATTACTCTTAGTGAAGATACTAATATACTTTGCTTATATATAAATATAATAATTATTAACATTTATTAAGTGCTTATTATGTGCAAAGGAAGTCCTGTTCTAATAATAGATTATCTCACTTAAAACATGGATTATCTCATTCATGCCACTTATTTAATATTTACAAAAACTCTGAGGCAGATATTATTGTTATTGAGGCAGATATCATTTTACAGATGATGCTGGGACACTAAGAACTTTGTCCAGGGGTGTTTAACTTTGATGTAGCTGAACTGAGATTCAAATCTAAGTATACATTTATATGTGTATGTGAGTGTATGCACACCTGTATATATTTTATATATATATATATATAGAAATTATACCACACTATAAACTGTCATTGTTCAAAATGGTAATTTAAACTTACTATAATATATATTATTATGGTAATATGGTAATATTTATAAATATGGTATTATAAATATATAATATTTATAATTATGGTAATATGGTAATATATAATATATATTATTATGGTAAGTTTAAATTATCATTTTGAACAATGACCGTTTATAGTGTGGTATAATTTCAAAGTACTGAGCTCCCTTCCTTAAACAACCAACCAGGACTTAAGCACTCAAAAGGGTAATGCCCTTTACAGGAGTCCCCCTTGAGAGACTATACATTATTTCCACAAATAGTGTTGGATGAAAAACATTGTTAGTCCTCTTAGGGTACTACCGTCACTTCATAAAGCACATAGGGAAACAAGTTTATTGGCTTATACTCCCTCCTGTTTCCCAGAATAGTATTCATTAAATTTATCTGAGAATAACTTTTGTTATTAAAAAAAAAAAAACAACCACACCCATGAAATGCTAAGGACTTTTCATCAGAAAATGTGCCGTGAAGTACAGAGACAAGATTAAAAAGTGTTTTTTGAAAGCTTTGAGTATTTGGAATAAACATCCCTGGAATAAATGTAATAGCTTCACAGGATAAGTTCTTGGAAAGAGTCTGTATTTGTTCTGAAGCCTCATGTGAGACATTGTCTTCTCTGCAGTCATGACACCTTGGTACATCATTTCCTGATAGCAATTTATAATTTTTAAATTTTTTTTATAAACATAAAATGTATTTTTATCCCCAGGGGTACAGGTCTGTGAATCACCAGGTTTACACACTTCACAGCACTCACCATAGCACATACCCTCCCCAATGTCTATAACTCCCCCTCCCCCCAGCAACCCTCAGTTTGTTTTGTGAGATTGAGTCACTTATGGTTTGTCTCCCTCCCAATCCCATCTTGTTTCATTTATTCTTTTCCTACCCCCCAAACCTCCCACGTTTCATCTCCACTTCCTCATACCAGGGAGATCATGAGATAGTTGTCTTTCTCCGATTGACTTATTTTGCTGATAGCAATTTATATATCATTTGCAGCTTTTGTTTGCTTGCCTGTCTCCACATTGGCCTGTGAGTTCTTCAAGGGCAAGGGCTTTCTTTTTCACTTCTATATCCTATGTGTTGCCTAAAGCCTGGCATGTAGTAGGTGCTCAGTAAATATATATTGAATGAACAGTTTGGGTACCTAAGTTTTAATAAATCAGTGTAAGAATTAATCACTATATTTTATTAAAATAAAAGCTTAGATGAATTAGTTAAAAACTGTAAGAAGAATAAAGACTTTAATGTGAGACCTGAAACCGTAAAAATCTTAGAAGAGAGCAGAGGCAGTAGTTTCTTTGACATCAGGCCTAACAACTTTTTTCTAGATAGGTCCCCTGAGGCAAGGCAAACAAAAGCAAATAAACTATAGAAACTACATTAAAATAAACTTACGCACAGCGGAGAAAACAGTCAACAAAACTAAAAGACAATCTACTAAGTGGGAGAAGGTATTTGCAAATGACATCCAAGAAAGAGTTAGTATCTAAAATACATAAAGAATTTTTTTTTTTAGATTTTTTTTTAAATTTATTTATTTGACAGATAGAGATAGGCTGAGAGGCAGGCAGAGAGAGATAGAGGAGGAAGCAGGCTCCCCGCTGAGCGAAGAGCCCCATGCGGGGCTCGATCCCAGGCCCCTGGGATCATGACCTGAGCCGAAGGCAGAGGCTTTAACCCACTGAGCCACCCAGGCGCCCCACATAAAGAATTTCTAAAACTCAATAATCTTATTAAAAATGCGGAGAACAGCCATTTCTCCAAAGTAGACAAAAGATGGCCAACAGACACTTGAAAAGATACTCAACATTATTCATCATCAAGGAAATGCAAATAAAACTACTATGAGGTATCACTTCATGCCTGTCAGAATGGCTAAAATCAAAAACACAGACACACTAGGTGTTGGCGAGGATGTGGAGAAAAAGGATCCCTTGTGCACTATTGGGTTCAGTGCAGACTGGTGCAGGCAGTGTAGAAAACAGTATGGAGCTTTCTCAAAAAATTAAAAATAGAATCACCCGATGATCTAGGAATTGCATTACTGGGTATTTACCCAAAGACTACAAAAACACTAATTCAAAGGGATACTTGCGCCTCTGTGTTTATAGCAGCATTATTTATGATAGCCAGATTAGAGAAGCAGCCTGTCCATTGATTGATGACTGGATAAAGAATATGTGATACACATACATACACACAATGGAATATTATTCAGTCATAAAAAAGAATGAAATCTTGGCATTTGCAGTGAAAGGGTGGAGCTTGAGAGTATGATGCTAAGTGAAATAAGTCAGTCAGAAAAAGACAACTACCATATGATTTCACTCATGTGGAATATAAGAAACAAATGAGCAAAGGGGAAAAAAAAGAGAAAGAGAGATAGAGAAACCAAAAAACTCTTAACTATAGAGAACAGACTGCTGGTTACCAGAGGGGAGGTGGGTGAAGTATTGTAAAATAGGGAGTGGGGATTCAGGATTACAGTTATTGTGATGAGCATCAGGTCATGAAAAACTTAAAAATTAATTAAAAACTATTTAAAAAAAGAATCACTGTACTTGACTTTAGCTTGTATAAAATATGCACTGTTCAAGTGAAATACTTCAAAATATGAACTTATTTTTTAAATTTTAATAAACACTATTGAGGAGTAAGTTACATACAATAAAACATGCATTTTAAGTATATAGTTAGACAAAATGTATACACATGTGTAACTACCACCACAATTAAGATAAGGAATATCTGGGGCCCCTGGGTGGCTCAGTGGGTTAAGCCTCTGCCTTCAGTTCGCTCATGATCTTAGAGTCCTGGGATCAAGCTCCGCATCGGGCTCTCTGCTGGGTAGGGAGCCTGCCTCCCCCGTGTGTCCCCTCCCCCCCTTCTCTGCTTTACTTGTGATCTCTCTCTGTC